GACATCTGATGCTCTAACCTCCCCGCTAGTGTCTCAGCCAACTCTGCCCAGACAGTTCTAGGGAAAGGAAACTCAGTCACTTTGGGGTCCATTCTGTTCCATCTTGGACAGGTTTGACCATTAGGAATCATTACTAATACTAATACCATTAGTATTCCTTACTTTAAAGTCTTTCTTCTGATGCTTTCCTCCCATTAGTCCTAGGGCTACTTCTTGAAGCCATTCGAAATTAACTTTACACCTTCTCCCCAAAAGAGCACTGTAGCTATTTTAATACAGCTGGCTCTCTCTCACCCTTCCCTGAGTCTTCCCCTTTCCAGAAAATATGCATAGTATTTTCATCCATTTTTTTCATATCCAGGCTGTGAGGCCCCTCACCATGCTGCTGGCACTTCTCAAACAAGTTCTGGTTTGTCCATATCTACTGGAAACCGTGGTGCCCAGAAAGAAATTCAGTTCTCTAGAAAGGTCTGATCAGGGTAGGATAGAAGGTGGATATCGGTTTGCCTTACTAGAAACTATGAGTCTATTAATAAAATTGATGATTTGGTTAAATAAAATAATGTACATGTACTCAAAAGAAATCTCTGTAACCACTAAAAACCATGCTTCTGAAAAGTACTGGATGATTTGGGAACACCTTGTGACATATTGCGTGCTAGCTAGTCTCCAGAGATGGCTGCTGCCAACCTTCCTCCCTGCTGTGTGAGTCACTGTCCCATGAGATGTGGAGTCCATTCCTCCGCCCCATCAAATCTGGGCCAGGCCTGTGACTGCTTTGACCAATGGAATGTGGAGAGAGTTATGTTCTAGCACCTCCAAGCCCAGGTGTTAAAAAGGCCTGCTGCTGCTTTTATGCTCTTGGATCCCTGAGCCACATGTACAAAGTCCAGGCTACCCTGCTGGCAAGAGAGGCCACACAGAGAGGCCCTGGGAGATGAGAAAGCACTTGGAGGAACAGGCTCCAGAGAGGAGCACCGAGATACCAGCGAGTGAGTGAATAGGCCATGCTGGGTCATGCGAGGCATCCCACCTGCAGCCCCAAACACTGTGGAGAAGGAACTAGGCATCCTGCTGGGCCCTGTCCAGGGTGCCTGAGCCACAGAACCATGGGAACAAAACCAAAATGGTTGTCTTTTTGTTTTGTGTGTGTGTGTGTGTGGTACGCGGGCCTCTCACTGTCGTGGCCTCTCCTGTTGTGGAGCACAGGTTTCGGACGCGCAGGCTCAGCGGCCATGGCTCACGGGCCCAGCCGCTCTGCGGCATGTGGGATCTTCCAGGACCAGGGCACGAACCCGTGTCCCCTGCATCGGCAGGCGGACTCTCAACCACTGCGCCACCAGGGAAGCCCCCGAAATGGTTGTTTCAACCTATCAAGTTTTGAAGTTGTTTGGACACAGCGATAGATAACTGAAACATATTGTTAGGGTGAAGAAAACAGCACACAAAATAGCCTAGCATGTTTGTTTTTTAAATATATATATATGTATATATGTGTAGCTGTATGTGTAGTTTGATATTTATATTTATACACAAACATACTAGTTGTGGTTTTCACTGGGAGATAGGATTATGAGTGTCTTTAATTTCATCTTTTCACTTTTCAAAAATTTTATACTTGTTTCTATTTTGTAACAGAAAATTCTTAAATTGTCACATTATCCTTTTGACAAGCACTTTACAGTCTTAATTCACATTAAGTTTACTGTTGGTTATATATATATATATAATAAATATATATTTTATCTCTGAGAGTATTTGAACATGGTTTCTCCCCAGAGAAGTGGCAGGGTTTATGACATTTAAACAGGACACACAAAAAGCCTCTTGTCCTGAAATTCTTGGCCTCTCCCACCCGGAACTGCACTGGAGAAAGTTCTCAATTCTCAGGCTGTACACTTCAGTTATTTCGCTACTGTAAAGCTACTGTTTTTGTGGTTATGGAAGAGTGGTTGCTATGGCAATGCAATCTGACTGAATGTCAGAATGCGTCTAAAGCTGGTAGAAGTGCCTTTTTCAGGGTTTCCTCTGAGGATTAATCATTTCCCAAGAATTGTATCTTCTTTTCCTCTCCTGTTAGAAATGGTGCCGGAGCACCTCATCCAGTCCTGGGACACGGACAAAATGAGGATGGGTCCGAGAAGGACAAAGCTTACGGTTGGAAAAAAAGACCACAGAGGAGCCATTTCCTACCAAATACTCGGGTTTCTTTCCACCCCTCCCTCCTTGACTGCTTTGCCACATTTGGACCCCTCTGTCTTCACTTTCCACAGACTCTCAGGCTTTGAGGTATCTTTGCTGGCTTCCTTTCATTCCACAAGTTGTGAGGAACTTCCACAGCAATTTCCCACACGTTAGCATTTGTTCATTGGCACATTCCCCATCTTAGCTCTGTGCCTCAGCTCAAACGAGATTTCATTCAAAGGATCTGCCTGCCATCCCTGCCCTGGCAGCTTCCTCATCCAGGCCACCTTGCACATAGCCACCAGATTCATGGCTCTACATTTTGCCCCTCAGTCCAAATGCCATGCCTTGACATGCGGGGCCCAAGGCCTGCGGCTACCCACATCCCTCCCATGTCCTCCTCTCCACCCTCCTGCCGCTTCTCTCCATCTAGCTCAGAAGTTCTCCTTACCACCCCATAGACACCTTCTCCCTTTGTGCCCCTTTACCTTTGCTTCCACAGTTTCTATCGCTCCCCCTACCATCTACTACTCACATTTTAAACTTCTTTTCTCCACAGAGTTCATCCAGCTAAATCCTCTGTTATGAGTTAAGTTGTAGCCCCTGCAAATTTATACGTTGAAGTCCTAATTCCCCGGCACCGCAGAGTGTGACCTTATTTGGAAACAGGGTCATTTCAGAGGTAATTAATTATTGGTAAGATGAGGTCTTACTGGAGTAGGGTGGGTCCAATCCAAAATGACTGTGTCCAGACATAAAGAACAGACTTCTGGTTGCCAAGGAGAAGGAGGGTTGGGGGAGGGACGGACTGGGAGTTTGGAGTTAGTAGATACAAACTGTTATATATAGAATGATAAACAACAAGGTCCTACTGTACAGCACAGGGAACTATATTCAACATCCTGGGATAAACCATAATGGAAAAGAATGCAAAAAAGCATGTATATATGTGTATAACTGAGTCATTTTTCTGTACAGCAGAAATTAACACAACATTGTAAATTAACTATACTTCAATAAAAAATAAATTTAAAAAGGACAGAAAAAGAAAAAAGAAGACTGTGTCCATATATTGATAAAAAGGGAAATTTGGACGCTGAGACACGTGCACAGGGAGAGTACCATGTGAAAGATACAGAAGAGAGTCATCTGTAAGCCAAGGAGAAAGGCCTGGCACAGATCCTTCCCTCACAGCCCTCAGAAAGAACCAACCTTACCAATACCTTGATTTTGGCCTTCTGGCCTCCAGAACTGTGAGAGACTTTCTGTTGTCCTAAGCCACTCATATGAGTTTCCCCCAGCTCTAAATTCCCTTCTCATTTGTGCACTCTGTTTAGCCATCTCTGCCAGAGGTGTTTCCCTGCTGTCTTAAGCCTGTTCTCTGCTTGTATCACAAGTGCATATCTGACTCCCTAACAAGATTCAGATTCCTTAGGTGAAGCCTTATCTCTCTGCTTCTTTTCCATCCCTGACAGGGCCTGGTACTTTGCTGACCTATGGAGTAGGCTGAATTAGGTGGAGTTTACCCTGGAGGATGATTCCTTGGTCCCTGTCAATACACTGCACAGTTTCTCTAAACCTACTGCGGTCAGACAAGAGGCCACGGGCTCCAGGTCACCAAGGAGAGACGAACCAGTAGCCCTACAGGGGGAGCACGTGTAGTCATGGGGTGTTCGGCCTGGAGGGATCACGGGGAGAGATCATCTAGTGCAACCCTTTCAGAGGACACAGAGGCTGGGCGTGCGGCCGTGGGGATGGGGGGACTAAAGGGTGGGGTGGGTGTTAGGGCTGTCACATCACAGAGAACAAGAGCCAGAGCTGGCATGAGCCCGGCCCCCCACTCCCAGCCCAGTGGAGGGGCTGCCTGCCCTGTGGGAGGGGGCAGGCTGCCTACAGGGCATTCGGAGGACCACCTGGGCACGCTCTGTAGGGCAGGTCAAATGCGCTACAGGCCTAGTGACTTACAAAAGCACCAGCACGATCAACGTGAAGGGAGAGGGTTAGAACAATGAGGTGGGGCTGGCAGTGCAGCTGAGGGCTCTGCCAGACAAACGGCTCTGCAAAAATCGGTGCCGTTGCACAACCATGACGGGCACTGTGTGTGTGCAGAGTGCAGCGGTCAGCCCAGGCAGACTCCTGTCATCAGTCAGGATTAGGAGTGGCCTGCCGGGGGGCATGGCCGTGGGCCTTGCCACTACTGTGGCTTGATGCACTGAAACTGTTCCTGGGTTCAACTAGTGAAACCAAGAGCTCCACGCAAAAGCCCAGGTTTTTCCAGAGCAAAGTCGAGAAAGAGACACCCATCAGAATTCCATATCTTGCTGAAAGAAGGCATTGGGTCCAAACACAAGAGTATATTAAAGCAAATGACTGAGTAACATTGTAACCAAGCAGGCTGCAGCCCTTCGAAAGTTCTGCTATAAAGAGGTTTTGATGACCTGGGAAAATTCTTACAATATTACACTAGGTGAAAAATGCAGACTGAAAAGAAAAAAGGTATATTCAGGAACTCAACCACGTACAGCAATATGCACAGGATGCATCCAAAATGTTCATAGAGTTTAGCTGTGACTTTTAACCTACTTTTTATTTCCCTTCCCTGTATATTCCAAATTTCTAGGGTAAGCATATATCATCTATAGAGTATAAAGATAATTGTGTTTTTATGTTTAAAGACACAAATTCTGTTTTTATAAGGAGGTATAAGCTGATCTCATTCTCTGTGCTTTGCAATGATTATACTACTCTGCTCTCCAATAATGCTCTCCCCAACCAAGAGGAAATCCCACCCCAGATGCGTCAATCCATTTACTCACATTCTGCATATTTCTGGAGTTGGCCAAATTCTTCTGGAGTGAGGGAGACCCACCGTTCTTCACTCATCTTTCCTGGGTGTGCGCGCTTGAGGCTGGGAGAGAGTTTTGTTCACCAGGCTGTAGCCAAGGCCCAGCCTAGGGCCTGGCTCATTGCAAGTACACAATGGACAAGTCCTTCAGGAGATTTCTCGAGCACCCAAGTGTCTATGGCAGCAGCGGGCACTGTTTAGCAGCTGAGAGAAGACCTCTGCTATTCCTAAGGCAACATCCTTCTATCTGTAGTCACAGTAAATTCAGAAATCCTTGCTTTTCCTGGGCAGGAGTAGAAAAGACATTGGGAATGAGAATGTTAGAATACGTAAGTCATCTTCTCTTGTAAAGAAAAAAAAAAAAAAACAAATGTTCTTTGCTGAAAGCTCTATAGGAGGCAATGGTTCTCAAGGCTGGGGGGAAGCCACCTGAGGGAATTCGGAAGAGGACATACAGACCAGAGCAGCACAAGTCCAGACAGCTGTCTGGCTGGAGTGGGGGTTAGGTGATCTATATGAAGAGGTAGCCATACTCCCAAACTCTGGAAAACTTAAAATGTGTCTAATGAGAGGTGGTAGCAGGGCCACCTAAGGGCATCCTCTAGTCATGAAAATGCCTCAGGCTGTAGGTGTCGTCTCCTGAGTAAGTACAGGACAGTAGCTCATGTGGTGTGATTTGAAAGGTAAGCCAGTCTCTCCTCCACTGATTTCTAAATTCCACTATTAGAGCTGCTTACCTTCCTTTTATGAGTCATTGAGTCACTCTGGAAATTCAGATACCACTCCCCTCAAGGCTGGCTAACCACTCCCCTCAAGGCTGGCTAACCACTCCCCTCAAGGCTGGCTAACATCCTAGTGACTGAAGCAGTTTTCTTTCCTCTTAGAACCATAAAAACATGATTAAAGGGAAGGCCTGCTGGCTCCCTTGTGGAGAGCCTGAGGGAGGGAGGGAGGGAGGGAGGGATGGATTCAGACAAAAACTTAGCATCTTTTCCTTTGAGCCCCTCCTAGCATGGTGGCTCTATCAGTCCTACCATCAGTCATTAAATCAGTTTAATGAGTTGTGAAATTAGTGGGGTGTGCTATTATAAAAACACATAATACAATAGCATAGAATGCAACGGAATGAGATGGAATTGAAAATAAGAGTGCATCTCCTTTCAGTTATACATACATGTATACACCTATCATAATATAAAGTGTATTTCTTATTCTAGGTTGAGGTTAAAAAAATGTTGAAAAGTCATCAACCTCATAGGACAAGGAATAAAGACCGATGTTACCAAAAAACAAGCCCAGTTTTAATAAAAGAGAATCCGTCGTAGAGAGTCAGACTTGAAGGCAAGTCTGGGAGTCTGGAGCATATGAGGAATGGTGGAGGGGTGGCAGATCTGGACAGTTCTCTGCAGTGGCAAATAGACTTGGTTGGTGTGGACCTGGAGGGCTGAACTAGAGCTGAGGGAAAATGCTGGAGGGAGATCTTCTGTAAGGAGATCCTCTGTAAGGAAGACTTTCCATCAGTCAGCACTCTCCAACAGTAGGAGGAAATGCATGGCAAGGGAGTGAGATGCCTGCATCTTTGAGAACATCCAAATTCTAGTTTCTCTCCTTGAAAGGTCTAATTCTCGGGGCTTCCCTGGCAGTCCAGTAGTTAAGACTTGGTGCTTCCACTGCAGGGGGTGAGGGTTCAACCTCTGGTCAGAGAAATAGGATCCCACATGCCACAGGAAAAAAAAAAGAAAAAAAGAAAAAAAATGTCATTCTCTTCTTAATCCACTGGCCAACTGGATTCTGCTTCTTAGCACCTGCTCTTGCCAAGGTTTCCAAGTGTGAAACTTAATAAAGGGAAACCTCACTAAGATGGAAGCAGGAGGCCAAAAGGGGAAGCTCTCACACAGTAATACTGTTGTTAATTGCAGGAGGAACTGTCAATTATACACCCCAACAGAAGACTCATCAACAGGAAAGAATCATCAATTACAGGCCCCAACAGGAAAAGGTGTACATTGCATGCCTAGAAGAAATCTACTACCCTAGCAATTCAACCAATGAGTTACCCTGAGCTCTCACTTTTGTCCAATGGACTTTTATTCAAAACATCCCCTCCCAACTTCCTCCTTTTTCTCTATAAAATAACATTCCTCTTTGTTTTTTGGACTTGCCTATGGCATTTGCTATAGCTTGCTTGTTCTGAATTGCAACTCCTCTGCTATTCCCAAATAAACCCATTTTTGCTGTAAAATAACTGGCTGTTTTATTTTTAAGGTCAAAACCAGTAACCCAGTTGTCAAATCCAACAGGCACTTTTCAGGCCTTCTTTGCTTCATTTGCTCTCTATGCAGCCTTGGCCTTTGCAGAAAACAACCCCCTGGAAACTCTTTTATCTTTGTAAGTGTTCCTCCTCAGTCTCATTCCACTTTTTCTTTTGCCATTGTTAAATACTGGGTGTTTCCACAATCCTATCCTCAGCCCTCTCCTCACATTGCACCCTTTCCCTCAGGGATCTCATCCACTTCCACAGCTTCAATGACTCCCAGGCATGCTGCTCCAGCCCTGCACTCTCCCTTCAATCCAGATCTGCATATCCAAATGCCTACTGTGACTCCCTTCTCTGTCCCAAACTACCCTGAATCAGCACCTTTCCATGCTCCCAACCTGCCCTTCCTCTGTATTCTGGTCATGCCCAAGAAGAGCCAATACTCAGGCCAGAGGCCTGAGGCTGAACCTAAGCTCCTCACCCTTTCTCTCCTGCCAAACCCAGGCACCAGTCTGGGAGTGTGACTGTCCATTGTGTGTTCCTTCCTCTCCACGATGCCAGGTGGCTTGTTAACTCAGACCCTCATCTGCCTGGTCTCTGACAACAGCCTCCTGCTGGTCTGCCTGCCTTGGGTTTTGTGTTCTTCCCCTTGGTCTGCTCTAAACTGCCAACCAAATCACATCTTTCCCAGTAATAAAATTCTTCAGTGGTTTCTATTGCCTATAGAATAAAAGGTAATCTTTTCATGATACACAAAGCTCTTTATGAGCTGGCCTTTGATTATCAATTCAGTCCAAAAGCAGGACCTTTAGAAACATTTTCCACCATACAAGGGAATTCAGCATTGCAACTGGTATTAACACTGCTGCCAGACACATTTTATACTGTGTTCTATGCTTTACATATATTATCTAATTTAGTCCTCATAACAACCATGTAAATTAAGCATTGCCTTTCCTATTTTTAGACAGGAAATATGAGGTAAGATGCTTAGTAAATTTGGTGAGGATAAAGAAGGAACCCCCCCAATGCTTTTGTTTAAAAATGCCTCTCTGATCTTATCATTCTGCACATTTCAGAAGCTCAGAACTCTAAGAGGACCCAGAGACACACAACGTGATAGAACACCACAGAACTTGAAGTCAGAAGGCAGGGGATTTGAGTCCTGACTCTGCCTCTTATAACTATTTGACTTTAAACAATTTTTTCATTTCTTGAATCTTGGTTTCCTCATCTTAAAGATGGGAATAACTAATAAAAAATCTGAGTTAGTATTAGGATTGAGTGAGTTAATATATGCAAAAAACAAACCAAAAAACCCCCCAAACCCCACCTAGCATAATGCCTATCACACAATGGACACTCAATAAATAATTATTGTTATCATCCTATTGCAAATACAACCAGTTAGCAATATGACAATCAACTAACAGCATTTGGGTGCTTTGTGCTGTAACACAGATTTATGAACTTGATCTCATCCTGCTTCAGGTTGCTGTAATTTTGTAATTACTCATCAAACTTTTATCCACTAGTTTTAGCACCCACTGATGATTCTTTCCTGGATTAGTTATTACTGTGAGAGTGAATTTCTAATTCCATCCTCCCTTCTATATTAGTTGGGATTCTACTGTGAGGGACAGTTTTCCTTTCTTTATTTCTTTATACTATACTATACTTTATACTATAAATACTACATATACTATAAATATATAAAATGTTTATATAAATATACATAATACATAAGTATAAATGTGTATTAATTTTACATACAATACATATTTACTTATATTCATGGACTCTTACTTTATTCAGTGGCTTATAATCCATTACCATCGTTACTTGTTTTGATTTTCAAATTGTCCCAGATTTGGCCAGAGCAAGCTCATTCAAAGTGATTCCTTGTTCTTTAGACATATTCCTATCATTCTCTGATCACATCTTTATTTTCTGGTACTACAAAATATTTCAGGATCATCTTTTTCTTCCTCAGTACTGTCCTGAAATCAGTCATTTTCCCAAAGATCCCTGGTTCTTTCTAATGGGGAATGGTTTTTGAAACCAAGGTTTGGGTACTAGGTATGCTCATTGCTACTGGGGTGTCACTATTTCTAGGCCCTGTCAGGGACAGAGCTAGGAAATATATTCACATGTACACACATATCTCATCTCTGGCTATTTATCTATCTTCCCGTCCGTCCGTCCGTCCGTCCATCCGTCCGTCCGTCCATCCATCCATCCATCCATCCATCCATCCATCCATGCATCCATGTTAAAAACCCCAAGTTCATACTCATACACTCTGTCGTTCCATATTGTTAAACTCCCTTCTCCAACAAACTCTGTTTCCATTATCTACAATGTGCTTATTTTCTCAATCCTAAAATATACAGAAAGTAGTTTCGGAAGTGCTAGCCACATCTCTGTGAAAAATAGAGTTCAAGATTTATTTATAGTTCCTCTGTCTTCATCCAACTGCATATCCTCAAAGGACTATTTTCAAAAGTTACTTAGGTTAGTTCTTTCCCACTCCCATTCATTCCTGTTTGTATTTCACTGTAGGGTTTTCCTCCATTCCCGCTGATTCTTTTTTAGTATGGTTTCAAAAGTCAGAACTATATAAAAAGGTTTCTTCAGAGAAGCCTTGCTTTCCCCCGTTCCCTTTACTCTGTTCCCATCCCCCTCCTTATCATCTTTTCCCCACCCCATACTTATGTTTTCTAGTTTATTCTTCCTGCTTATTTTCACATCATTGAGCAGATATATGGATATTTTCTTATTTCCCCTTCTTTACCTACAAAAGGTAGCACATTGTAGACTGTCTTTTGCACGGTTATTTTTTTCACTTAACAAAATGTCCCATGAATCATTCCATATCTTCATAGATATCCTCCTCATTTAGAACCAAATTTGACTGCAGCATTTACCTGCTTAAAACCCTTCAGAGGCCTCCATTGGCTTCCAGGATTAAAGGCAGGTTCTTTGGCCGGTTGCAGAAGATCCTTCATCTGTGGCACAGCTCACCT